CGGGGGGCTCCGGCGGCGAGCTTGGGGCTCCCGTGAGTGCCGGGCAGACCCTGCCGCGGGTGTCGCCCCCCCCCCAGCGGCGCAGCCCCAAGCCCCCGGTGCAGGAGCCTTCTCGGCGCGGAGGTAACTGGTTCGTGTTTCCCAAGCTGAAGAAGAAGGGATGAGTAAGAGCAAGGACGATGCTCCGCATGAGCTGGAGAGTCAGTTCGTGCTGCGACTGCCACCGGTAAGGGCTGCTCAGCCTGGTGCGGCCAGAGGCGCTGCCGGCCCGGTGTAGGCGCTGCAAGGTCCGGTTTGCTCGGCGGGCACGGGGTTCGGGAGAGGGATTAGCAAGGTGGGTGGTGTCAGCGGGGAAGCTGCACACCTGGCAAAGGACGGGGAAGCAGGGTGGGTGCTTTTGGCCTTGGGCAGTGAAACAAAAAAATTAACTCAACAGTCAGAATCCAGTATAACTGTCAGGCCCTTTCCATAGCCCGTTCCCACTCATTTGAACAGATTTTCGGCAGCCTCTTCTTCAGAGGTGCTTCTGCCACCCGGAGCAGGAGGCTCAGAAGGCAATTTAGAGGGTTAGAGAGGAAATTTTTGTGAGAGTAGAGCTTTCACAGAATCATCTGGGTTGGAAAAGACTTTGAAACTCCTCCAGTCGAACCATTAACCCACCACTGACCGTTCCTAACTCCCCCAGATCCCTCAGCGCTGGCTCAGCCCGACTCTTCAACCCCTCCAGGGATGGGGACTCCCCCCCCTGCCCTGGGCAGCCCATTCCAACGCCCAACAGCCCCTTCTGCACAGAAATCCTTCCTCAGAGCCAGCCTGACCCTGCCCTGGGCAGCTTGAGGCCATTCCCTCGGGGCCTGGCGCTGGGTCCTTGGCTCCAGAGACTCATCCCCCCTCTCTGCACCCTCCTGTCAGGGAGCTGTAGAGGGCCAGGAGGTCTCCCCTCAGCCTCCTCTTCTCCAGACTAAACCCCCCCAGTTCCCCCAGCCGCTCCCCAGCAGACCTGTGCTCCAGACCCTGCCCCAGCTCCGTTGCCCTTCTCTGGACACGCTCGAGTCATTCAATGGCCTTTTTGGGGTGAGGGGCCTAAACGTGAACGCAGTCGTCGAGGTGCAGCCTTACCAGTGCCGAGCCCAGGGGTGAGATCCCTCCCCTGTCCCTGCTGGCCACACTGTTCCTGACACAAGCCTTTAGTCAGTGCTGAGTCTTCAGTTGCTGTGGCTGTCAGTACACTTGATGCTATTTGTTAGGTTGTCTGGGGCCTCGCACCACTGTCCCAGCCGTGTTGTGTCAGGAGGTGTGAAGGACACTGTCAGCGGCACAGCCACAGGGTTAACATGCTATCGGGAGGAGGGTGCAGTCTTTATTGGAGCTCTTGCAGTTCTTTTTCTGCACTGGGATGGCAGGGGTCTTTAAAGCTGGGTAGGTTGGATAGAAGCCTTGAGGGATTCTCAGAGGACGTCTGATAGAAGTCCAGTCCTGATAGAAGTCTGTCCAACTTTCCCAGGAATACGCCTCCACCGTGCGGCGAGCGGTACAGTCTGGAAATGTCAACTTGAAGGACAGGCTCACCATTGAGCTACATGGTGAGTGAGGATTGGGGCATCTTAAAACTCCTCTGACTGTCCACAAGTGAAGCTTGTGTTTTCCCATGAAATTTCTGCTGCCCATGAACGTGTTGCTCAGTTTAGCTGTTTAGTGGCAGCACTAACCTGTCCTGTGGCTTTCCGCAGCGGATGGGCGCCACGGGATTGTCCGCGTAGACCGGGTGCCGCTGGCAGCCAAGCTGGTGGATCTGCCCTGCATCATCGAGAGCTTAAAAACCATTGACAAGAAAACCTTCTATAAGACAGCAGATATTTGTCAGGTATGGGCTGTCCTTCTTGTGTGTCCCAACAGCTTAACTCCTTGCTCCTCTCTCCAGGAAAACCCTTCTACACTTCGGCAGCTGGACACTCAGTATAACATGGCCAGTTTCTTTGGGTTTGCAATGTTAGCAGTTTAAAATTCCCCACTCTGCTTGGGGTTTAGAGATCCTGTTTCTGAAGCATGAAGTGTGATTGTGCTTGTAACAGCTTAACTGCTGCTGTGTTTAGGTAGGAACTGAGCTGGGTGTGAAACGTGTTTCATGTGCCCCGTGCCTGTGAATCCCTTTGGCTCACAACACGCAGTGGGCAGTCACCATTCATTTTCCAGTAAAGCTTTCACATCTTTTTGTCCTTGCATTATGATAAGCACCCTTTGTATTTATGTGGGGATTCCAGATGCTTGTTTGCACTGTGGATGGTGACCTCTACCCCCCTTTGGAAGAGCAGACTGTGAGCACTGACCCCAAGGCAAACAAGAAGAAGGACAAGGACAGAGAGAAGAAATTCATCTGGAACCATGGCAGTGAGTAGAGGCTGTGCCAAACCCCTCCATCCCACCACACCAGTGTCCCCATAGCTGTGCAGGGCACTCACCGCTGCCGTGTCCTGGCTGTGCTGCTGCTCCGTTTTCGGTGCTCTCTGTTCCTTCTCCTTTTTGGCATGCAGCTCTCCCATTTGCCTGACACATCCAATCTGTTTCCTCTGTCACAGTCACTCTTCCCCTGAAAAATGTACGAAAGAGAAGATTCCGGAAAACAGCTAAGAAGAAGGTGAGTTGCTTCTCACACATGGAGATGCAATAACCAAGGGATGGGAAGTCAGAAACTTCAGAGCTGTAACTGTCTGTTAGTCCAGAAAACATGTAATGCCTTAACATTGCTTCACATGTTTCCTTGGGTGAAGGAAGGGTGGTAGATTTAAACACCTCTTTGGGTGCTTCCTCCATGTTTTCCAAGATGCTCCTGAGGGGAAAGTCCTCTGTGCAGAGAACTGCTGGACTCCATTCCTGCGGCTGCCTTGCCATAGTGCATCTCTTCCTGCTCACAGAGAAGAAAGGAAGACTCACATGGAAATGAGGCTTCACTCATTCCTGCTTTCCCAGCTGAAATCTTCTCTCTGTGCATGGCCCGTTCACTTCCCCAACAGGGAACACTACAAATAGAATAACTGTCATTTCAGCTGGGGGAGTGACAACAGATGGAGCTCAGAGACTGTCTCTGTGCATATGCACAAGCCAGGCAAGGTGTTGGGGGGATGCAGCACCGTGAGGTTGGGAAGACTTGTTCTTCTCTACTTTGCAGTCTCTGAGAACAGGATGGAGTGCTATTTTACATGACATTTGGGAAACAAATTACTTGAGACATTCTTATACCACACAGGAGAGATTTGATGTCACTGCATTGAGATTCTTAGCTAATTTAAAAGTGAAAAATGAAACCTTCTTTTGAATGGATGGGAAGGAGTTGAACTGACCATCCATCAGGAAACGGTACCTCAAGGACTTTCTGCATACACACAGAAAGTCTTATTTCATAAGTAGTATAAGTAGAAAAGTGAGAGCGTACAGCCCACCACGGAGCTCTGTACAAAAGGGATGGATTGCTTTCTGGAGGTGCATAAATTACTTTCAGGGTAAGAACAAGCAAAGACTGAGCAAAAAGCATAAAAGAGAGGCTTGAAATATGGCTCTGTCCAGAGGTGGAGGGTTGGAGTTGATCAGCACCAGCAGCGTGCATGAGGCGTTTAACAGTGTCTCTGTTCTCTTTCCCCTCTCTGGCCCAGTATATCGAGTCTCCTGATGTGGAAAAAGAGGTGAAGCGTCTCCTGAGCACAGATGCTGAAGCTGTCAGTGTCCGTATCCTTTTAGGAGAAAAAAAGCTCAAGGGGGGGAGAGGACACTGTGTGACCTGGAGGTTGTGGAAATAAGAGACAATTTCAGCTTGGTGTGGGTGTGAAAGACTGGGAGATAAGCAAACAAGAGGCACTGAAGTTTTGGAGCTTCATCTTTGCCTTGTTCAAAGCTGTGCCAGGGCAGGGTCAGGCTGGCTCTGAGGAAGGATTTCTGTGCAGAAGGGGCTGTTAGGCGTTGGAATGGGCTGCCCAGGGCAGGGGGGGAGTCCCCATCCCTGGAGGGGTTGAAGAGTCGGGCTGAGCCAGCGCTGAGGGATCTGGGGGAGTTGGGAACGGTCAGGGTGAGGGTCATGGACTGGAGGAGCTTCAAGGGCTTTTCCAACCAAGAGGATTCTGTGAAAGTTCATTGTTTCTTGACCTTCCTTGCAGACTGTACTGTTGTGCTGAGCAGGAACTTAAGTAAGAGCAGAGGGGAAGTCAGCAAAAAAGGAGGTTGGGATGGTTTGTCTTGGATGTCCCTGGCTGCAAGGCCAGACTTGGAGGGACAGTAATCTCATGCAGTTTCTAGCATTCTTTTGTCATACTGCATCTTTTGTGTTCCTCTTTTTCCCTTGACTGGTCTGTTCCTGCTGTCAGGCTGGGAAGTCATTGCTGAAGATGAAACAAAAGAAGTTGACAACCATGGTTCGCTCACCAGCTTGGACATCTCCTCCCCAGGGATGTCAGGACATAAGCAAGGCCATGGCTCCTCAGGTGCAGTGGGGAAGGCTGTTGTTTTCTTTCTAGCCACTAAACAATCAGTTGGGCACATCATCTCTGGAGTAAGCCCTAAGCAGAGCAAAGGAGAGAGGGTGTTGAGACAGGCACCCTGCACTTATATGGTTCCTGGCAAGCAAAGGGTGCCGGGAGGTCACATCAGCTGTGTTTTTCCTCTTTCCTTTTGCACTCTTTAGAACATGATGAACTGCGGGAGATATTTAATGACATCAGCAGCAGCAGCGAAGATGAAGATGAGAGGGATCATCATGATGACGAAGACCTGAACATTATGGACACTGAGGAGGACTTGGAGAGGCAGCTGCAGGACAAGCTGAATGAGTCCGATGGGCAGCAACAGGAGAATGAGGGGTCCAACCAAATAGGTGAGTGAGCGACAGAGCGCAGCAGAGTCACCAGGCTGCCAGGCAGCCCACGCTGCCCACCTCTGCTGCTGCTCTGGGTCTGAGCTCACTCTCTTCCAGTCATGGGGATCCAGAAGCAGATTGACAACCTGAAAAGTAAACTCCAGGAGACCCAGGACAGGAGGAAGCGCCAGGAAGATCTCATCATGAAAGTGGAGAACCTAGCTCTCAAGGTGAGACTCTCCTGGGGTCTCTTCAAGTCTGCTTAGTGCTGGCTTGTCATTAGATCCAGTAGAGTGATTCAGCTGCTACCCTGGAAAAGCCAGCGGGGCCTTTGCCTGCTAGGTTAAAAATAATGTGACCATACACACTCCAGCATTTCTTCATAGAGGCAAAACAATCCATGAAACTGCAGGAGATAAGGGGGTTGGTTGGGACTTGCTGCACCATTTGATGTGTGCCAGCACTCGTTCAGTTGAGAACACATTGGTAACTGGTCTGGCATGTCTATCTCTGCAGACCCGTCTCCAGGCTGTGCTGGATGAGTTCAAGCAGCAGGAAGAGCGAGAGAAACAGCAGGTGAGGAAAATTCCCCCAGTGGAGTGGGAAGAACTGGGGCACGACATGGTTCTAGGCTTGGCCTCTGACAAAGTTTCCTGAACACTGTGTACCACACCAGCTGCTTTGAACTCTGGTGTTACGGGCAAGGTGAGGTTGTACTTCATCTGTAGTTGCATGGAGCTTCCCAAGACAAAAGGAGGTGTAGGAAACAGGGTTGGTTGCAGCCTTCTGGAGGCACAGTGAACTAAAACGTGTGAGTCTGCAGTCCAAGGCTGCTGGGTAACACGTGACACAGAAACCCACTGCCACACCTGCATGAGAAAGTAGCTGCAGGATCTTTGCAGATTTCTTGCCTTGGCAGCTCTGCTGAGTTTTAACCAGGCACCAAGGCAGGAGGTTTCCATTCCTGGGTTCCTGTTAAGCAGCTTCCCCAGTGAGTTCTGCTGCAGAGGTGCCCAGGCACGGCTCCAGCAACATACGGGCACAGCGGCTACTAGTGCAGGGGAGGATCTGCAGGAACACAGAGTGCTTGGGGTGGAGCTGCCGTGTGGCCCAGCCATGCCTCACTGCAATGCCTCACTCCCTCTTCCCAGATGACGTCCCTGCAGGAGCAGCTGGAGTCCCTCATGGAAAAGTGAGGAGCGGGCCTGGGTCTCTGTACCTGCAAGCAGAGCTGGAAGTGTTGTTCATCGGCCGTGCTGAAGTCTTTGCTCTACTCACACACTTCTGCCAGATGTGCTGCTGGGCAGTGCTAGAGGCTCCATGTCCAGAGCTGCTCTCACGTACATTGTGCTTGGGAAGCTAAAGAATCGGACTACGCCTGTGAGAGCAGCCAAAACACTGGATTTACAGTAAATATTCAGGACTATTCTCCCAGAGGGCTTTAGTGCTCCCTGGGACAGTGCAGTGCAGCTTTCTGCATCTTCTTGGTGGGCTGTGGCCTGGCAGGAGCTTGTTCTTGTGTTTGAGGCATGCTTGTGTCTGCAAACCAGACTCAATAAAGTACTATTTCCAACCCTGGTGTGTTCCCTTCTGGGCTCTGGAGCACAGATCAGCACTGCTGAAATACTCCTAGCAGGGCTGGGTCAAAGGGAGACTGTGTGTTAAGGGGACCCTCTGAGCTGTCACTGTGGGAGGAACAAGCCCTTCCTGATGAGGGAGTTTTTTTAATTCCTTACAGACTAGGCAGGCAAATCCCAGATTAACCTGGTAGGGTGGAAAGAGGATTAGAAAGGCAATTCCAGAACGCAACGGAGGGCACCAGGGGTGTCAGCGAGGGTGTGCCACAGCAGGACGCCCCTCCTGCAGCCTAAAGGGCAGGGGCAGAGTAGAAGGCATCCAAGCTCTGGCCCCAGCACAGAAAGGGAGAGGCCGGAAGCAGCCCTGGGAGATGACATGTCCAGATAGTCAAGAACGGGAGATACCCTGAGCAAGAGGGGGCTTGGGAAGGGCTGGAGCGCACCCACGTGTGTCAGCCTGTGACCTGCTTCGGGGGGCTGGCAGGAGCGGCCATGGAAGAAACCTACCTGCTGAATGTGGAAGGCGTCAAAAAGAAGATTCTGCATGGAGGCCAAGGGGAGCTGCCGAAGTTGCAGGATGGGAGCAAGGTAAATTGTCTTGGTTGTTCCCCAAAGCCCTAGGAGAGGGGAGTGGGTGCGACACCGCCATCCCTGCCCATTACAGTTAGATTCCCCGCTCACAAGCTGAGCTCTGCAGGAAGGGCTGTTTTGGGCACATGCAGCCGCATTTTTCTCACAGTGACCACTGATACTGCCCACTGCCTTCACCTTGCATCGGTGCTGTCACTTGCCTCCTCCCTATCTCCTGAGGCCGTTGGAGCTCAGCAGCTATGATGGGTTGCTGGAAATCTGCCGTTCCCGATGGGTGTCAAACAGGAGTGAGGGGTGCGAAGCAGGAGCTCTGGGGGATTTCTGAGATTTCTCAGCCCAGGGGTATGGGCAGATGAGTGTGTGTTCTGCCAGGTCCTGGTGGATGCTGTGGGAGCGGCATGTACTGGGTTATAAAGGGGGATCCAACGAGAGCAGCAGGATATAGCACCGATGGGTGTTAAGATACTCCACCATCTGCTTGCTGTCAAAGCAAGTGGGTAGGAGGCACAATCTCCTGCTGTGGATGGAGAGCTGCCAATCAAACCAGCACCTTACTGGGAGCAGGCTCGGCCCCACATCCTGGCCCTGTGGCAGAGGGAGTCGGGGCTGGTGAGGGGATGGAGAGCTCTCACTGTGGTGCCTGCCCTGGCTTGACACTGAGCTTTCTCTGGGGCAGATCACCTTCCACTTCCAGACGCTGAAGGATGACTTTGAGCGGACAGTGATCGATGACAGCCGGGAAGCTGGCTTCCCCATGGAGCTCATCGTGGGCAAGATGTTCAAGCTGGAGATCTGGGAGACGCTGCTCAGCTCCATGAGACCTGGGGAGGTGGCCGAGTTCTGGTGCGACGCCATCGTGAGTGAGGGGCCTGTGGGCACCCACTCCCCCCCCTTTCTGCAGAGCCAGGGCGCAGCACCATGCACCCGGAGATGCTCCAGCCTTGCCTGGTGCAAGCGCAGGGGGCAGAGGTGTCACTCAGCCACAGGACCAGGGGGGATGCCCCGAGGAAGGGGTGCAGGCTGGCCCTATGCAGCTGAGCAGGGTGCTCCCCCTCTTTGCAGCACACGGGCATGTACGCCCTGGTCTCCAGGGGCATGCGGAGGATCGCAGAGGGCCAGGACCCCCTGGAAGGGCAGAATCACCGCTGCGGCATGGGCAACATGTTTGACTACCACAGCACGGGCTATGATGACCTGGATGAGCTGCAGCGGACGCCGCAGCCCCTCATCTTCATCATGGAGTTGTTCCGGGTAAGGGGGATGGTGGGGGTGGCTGCCAGCACAGGGGCTGCTGGGGCAGACAGCTCAGCTCCTCGTGCCTGTGCAGGTGGAGGAGCCCTCAGCATACAAGCGTGACACCTGGGCAATGAGCAAGGAGGAAAAGCTGGCAGCAGTGCCTGTGCTGCACAGTGAAGGCAACCGCCTCGTCCTCCGCAAGGAGTTTGGACAGGCAGCAGCAAAGTACCAGGAGGCTGTCATCTGCCTGAGGAACCTCCAGGCCAAGGTGAGCAGGACCCAACCACCTCCTGTCCTCCCTGGCTGCATTTCCTCAGTGAAGCACAACCCTGGGGACCCTGGATGCAGCTGTGAACCACACGCTGTGGCTCCCTGGGGCAGGAGAAGCCATGGGAAGAGGGCTGGCTGAAGCTGGAGAACCTGGTCACGCCACTGGTGCTCAACTACTGCCAGTGCCAGCTGGAGCTGGGCGAGTACTATGAGGTGCTGGAGCACACGACAGAGCTCCTCCAGAAACACAATGGTACACCCCCACCCCCCCACC